TACACTTTAGTAAATGGCAGAGCTGGGATGAAGGTTTGTCTGTCACCAGAGCTCTTGGTCTTTTTCCACCTGAGGGACTGGTATCCAATGTAAGTTTACCAGAGTCTCAAGATTCTCACGCCTCCTGATAATATGGGACAAAATCCCCCTCAGCTATTTCTGGCAGTCCGGGTGATGTCTGGCATGCAGTCCCAAACAAATCCAGTCAGCTATGAAGCACATGTCCCTGCCCGGTATTGTTGCCTTTCTGCTGACCCCTGCTGCCCTGCCAGGCTGTGTTCTCTGCCACAGGGGAGACTGCCTTCTCCTCTGTTCAGTGGAGGTACCAACACAGGGCTCCATTGTCTCACCAAGTTTTAGTGAAAACTTTTAGTTTCTACTTGCCCCTTGCCTGCTTTCCAACATGAGTCAGGCGTGAATCCAACAGTAACCTGGATTAGAGCTGCTTAGACTGAACAATAGCTGGCTGCCCTCAGAATCACTCCCCCCTCTCACTCTAAACCTCCATCATTGGCCCAACTTGCCTTTTCTTGGTATAATAATAATAATTACATGGCACTTAGTATGTGCCAGAGCCCTGGAGGCACAGTGGTTAAGAGATTGGCTGCTAACCAAAAGGTCAGCATTTCAATTCCACCAGCTACTTCTATGGGGCAGTTCTACTGTATCCTATGGAACTGACTTGATAGAAATGGGTTTGGTTTTCAGTATGTGCCAGATTCTGTCCTAAGCACTGCACTTGTGTTAACATCCCTATGAAGTAGATATTATAATATCCCCATTGTGCAGATGAGGAAACTAAGGACCAAAGAGGTTAAGAAACTTTCCAAAGGTCACGAAGCTAGTAAGTGGTGGGGCAGGATTCAGATCCAGCCAGTCTGCCTCCAGAGTCCATGCTCTTGACCACTTCCACACAGGGTCCTCATCCTATGCCAGAGATTTGTGGGAGATACACTCTACCAGCCATAAAACAGGCCAACCATTGCTGAACGCAGTGGGGGATAACTTTAGGCCAAGGCTGGGCACCCACTGCCTTCCCTGAAGGACGGTTTCCAAAGTGGCTATGGGGTGTACTCTAAGGGCAACCACACCTGGGCAGTACTGTGCCTGAGCACCTATGTATTCACAGGTGTCAGTGCAGTGCGTTGTGACGTTTTGAAAACAGCTGGTCCCCAAGACTGATGGCCTGGCATACTCTGAGCTGCATCTCTCTAGATTTCAAAGTCAAAGTCACCCACACTACTGCTACCCACTCAACATCAGGGGACTCCGGGCTGATCGTTTCCTTGTCACTGAATCCGTAGAGC